GAGGTGACTACGCCCAAAGAGGACCTGTCCCTGATAGGAGGTGACTACGCCCAAAGAGGACCTGTCCCTGATAGGAGGTGACTACGCCCAAAGAGGACCTGTCCCTGATAGGAGGTGACTACGCCCAAAGAGGACCTGTCCCTGATAGGAGGTGACTACGCCCAAAGAGGACCTGTCCCTGATAGGAGGTGACTACGCCCAAAGAGGACCTGTCCCTGATAGGAGGTGACTACGCCCAAAGAGGACCTGTCCCTGATAGGAGGTGACTACGCCCAAAGAGGACCTGTCCCTGATAGGAGGTGACTACGCCCAAAGAGGACCTGTCCCTGATAGGAGGTGACCACACCCAAAGAGGAACTGTCCCTGATAGGAGGTGACCACACCCAAAGAGGACCTGTCCCTGATAGGAGGTGACCACACCCAAGGAGGACCTGTCCCTGATAGGAGGTGACTACACCCAAAGAGGAACTGTCCCTGATAGGAGGTGACTACGCCCAAAGAGGACCTGTCCCTGATAGGTGACTATGCCCAAAGAGGACCTGTCCCTGATAGGAGGTGACCAATTTAGAATCTCTCTGAGAAGAAGAACCCTGTCGTGCAGAAGCATCACTGCAAAGTTGTAGAGCAGAGGAAACGCTATAGATGGAGTGGGCAACCTCTGTACTTTAGCTGTGCTTGGACTACAAATCCCAGCATGCCTCTGCCTGTGGCTCAGTATTGGAACCTGGATACAGTGGGAAAGGGTAAAAACCTTTGTCAGGCTTGTCTACCTCCTCCACAACGGGGACCCAGAGCTGACACAGGGGTTCTAACCGAAAGGACATGCCGACTCCTCCTACAGCATGAGCCGGGATCCCCCTTCAGGTGTCATACCAGTCCACCGGAGACCTGCTGCATACCTGAATCTTTAAACGCTTGCAGAGAGTGGAGGTAATTCTCTGCCGCCGCCTCGTGGTCGCCGAGCTGGCTCAGGGCGTACGCCAGGTTGCCAAAACATTGACCTTGAGCCCTGCGGTTACCGAGCATGCCTGCAACGTGCAACACAGCAACACATGACAACCCATCACAATGACCACTAGGTGTAACCGGCTGCTGCCTTCTCCAAATACCCCCCCCCCAGACACGGGCAATGCCGGGACCAAGGATGATCAACCAATCAGATGTAACCCGGCAACATTGTACAAGACACAGGACAAGGAAAGATACATTGTAACTGCTTGCTATGGATTGCTGCATTGTATATAATGATTCCCGATCATGGCAGAAGCGAGTCAATTATTGGCAGTGCTCTGGCGCCCTCTAGTGGTCAGATTACATTATTACATGTATTGTATCAACCAAGGCTTTAGAACCAAGCACCAAACTTTTGTTGTATCTATAGGCAATCATCATCATCATCCTCATCATCATCATCATCCTCCTCCTCCTCCTCATCAATCATCTTCATCCTCCTCCTTCTCCTCATCATCAATCATCATCATCCTCATCATCATCATCCTCATCATCATCATCCTCCTCCTCATCATCATCAATCATCTTCATCCTCCTCCTTCTCCTCATCATCAATCATCTTCATCCTCCTCCTCCTGCTCCTCATCATCAATCATCATCATCTTCATCCTCCTCCTTCTCCTCATCATCAATCATCTTCATCCTCCTCCTCATCAATGATCCTCATCATCATCTCCATCCTCCTCCTCCTCATCAATCATCTTCATTCTCATCATCATCTCCATCCTCCTCCTCCTCATCAATCATCATCTTCATCCTCATCATCATCATTCATCTTCATCCTCCTCATCATCATCTTCCTCCTCCTCCTCCTCATCATCTTCATCCTCCTCCTCATCATCTTCATCCTCATCATCATCAATCATCATCTTCATCCTCCTCATCATCAATATTCATCTTCATCCTCCTCCTCATCATCATCCTCCTCCTCCTCCTCATCATCATCATCAATCATCATCTCCATCCTCCTCCTCCTCATCAATCATCATCTTCATCCTCATCATCATCATTCATCTTCATCCTCCTCATCATCATCTTCCTCCTCCTCCTCCTCATCATCTTCATCCTCCTCCTCATCATCTTCATCCTCATCATCATCAATCATCATCTTCATCCTCCTCATCATCAATATTCATCTTCATCCTCCTCCTCATCATCTTCATCCTCATCATCATCAATCATCATCTTCATCCTCCTCATCATCAATATTCATCTTCATCCTCCTCCTCATCATCTTCATCCTCCTCATCATCATCATCTTCATCCTCCTCATCATCATCGTCACCACCATCAATGATATCAATATATAATAATTTCCCCCAGTACAGTGGTAGTCACAATGCCCCCAGTACAGTGGTAGTCCCAATGCCCCAGTACAGTGGTAGTCCCAATGCCCCAGTACAGTGGTAGTCCCAATGCCCCAGTACAGTGGTAGTCCCAATGCCCCAGTACAGTGGTAGTCCCAATGCCCCAGTACAGTGGTAGTCCCAATGCCCCAGTACAGTGGTAGTCCCAATGCCCCAGTACAGTGGTAGTCCCAATGCCCCAGTACAGTGGTAGTCCCAATGCCCCAGTACAGTGGTAGTCCCAATGCCCCAGTACAGTGGTAGTCCCAATGCCCCAGTACAGTGGTAGTCCCAATGCCCCAGTACAGTGGTAGTCCCAATGCCCCAGTACAGTGGTAGTCCCAATGCCCCAGTACAGTGGTAGTCCCAATGCCCCAGTACAGTGGTAGTCCCAATGCCCCAGTACAGTGGTAGTCCCAATGCCCCAGTACAGTGGTAGTCCCAATGCCCCAGTACAGTGGTAGTCCCAATGCCCCAGTACAGTGGTAGTCCCAATGCCCCAGTACAGTGGTAGTCCCAATGCCCCAGTACAGTGGTAGTCCCAATGCCCCAGTACAGTGGTAGTCCCAATGCCCCAGTACAGTGGTAGTCCCAATGCCCCAGTACAGTGGTAGTCCCAATGCCCCAGTACAGTGGTAGTCCCAATGCCCCAGTACAGTGGTAGTCCCAATGCCCCAGTACAGTGGTAGTCCCAATGCCCCAGTACAGTGGTAGTCCCAATGCCCCAGTACAGTGGTAGTCCCAATGCCCCAGTACAGTGGTAGTCCCAATGCCCCAGTACAGTGGTAGTCCCAATGCCCCAGTACAGTGGTAGTCCCAATGCCCCAGTACAGTGGTAGTCCCAATGCCCCAGTACAGTGGTAGTCCCAATGCCCCAGTACAGTGGTAGTCCCAATGCCCCAGTACAGTGGTAGTCCCAATGCCCCAGTACAGTGGTAGTCCCAATGCCCCAGTACAGTGGTAGTCCCAATGCCCCAGTACAGTGGTAGTCCCAATGCCCCAGTACAGTGGTAGTCCCAATGCCCCAGTACAGTGGTAGTCCCAATGCCCCAGTACAGTGGTAGTCCCAATGCCCCAGTACAGTGGTAGTCCCAATGCCCCAGTACAGTGGTAGTCCCAATGCCCCAGTACAGTGGTAGTCCCAATGCCCCAGTACAGTGGTAGTCCCAATGCCCCAGTACAGTGGTAGTCCCAATGCCCCAGTACAGTGGTAGTCCCAATGCCCCAGTACAGTGGTAGTCCCAATGCCCCAGTACAGTGGTAGTCCCAATGCCCCAGTACAGTGGTAGTCCCAATGCCCCAGTACAGTGGTAGTCCCAATGCCCCAGTACAGTGGTAGTCCCAATGCCCCAGTACAGTGGTAGTCCCAATGCCCCAGTACAGTGGTAGTCCCAATGCCCCAGTACAGTGGTAGTCCCAATGCCCCAGTACAGTGGTAGTCCCAATGCCCCAGTACAGTGGTAGTCCCAATGCCCCAGTACAGTGGTAGTCCCAATGCCCCAGTACAGTGGTAGTCCCAATGCCCCAGTACAGTGGTAGTCCCAATGCCCCAGTACAGTGGTAGTCCCAATGCCCCAGTACAGTGGTAGTCCCAATGCCCCAGTACAGTGGTAGTCCCAATGCCCCAGTACAGTGGTAGTCCCAATGCCCCAGTACAGTGGTAGTCCCAATGCCCCAGTACAGTGGTAGTCCCAATGCCCCAGTACAGTGGTAGTCCCAATGCCCCAGTACAGTGGTAGTCCCAATGCCCCAGTACAGTGGTAGTCCCAATGCCCCAGTACAGTGGTAGTCCCAATGCCCCAGTACAGTGGTAGTCCCAATGCCCCAGTACAGTGGTAGTCCCAATGCCCCAGTACAGTGGTAGTCCCAATGCCCCAGTACAGTGGTAGTCCCAATGCCCCAGTACAGTGGTAGTCCCAATGCCCCAGTACAGTGGTAGTCCCAATGCCCCAGTACAGTGGTAGTCCCAATGCCCCAGTACAGTGGTAGTCCCAATGCCCCAGTACAGTGGTAGTCCCAATGCCCCAGTACAGTGGTAGTCCCAATGCCCCAGTACAGTGGTAGTCCCAATGCCCCAGTACAGTGGTAGTCCCAATGCCCCAGTACAGTGGTAGTCCCAATGCCCCAGTACAGTGGTAGTCCCAATGCCCCAGTACAGTGGTAGTCCCAATGCCCCAGTACAGTGGTAGTCCCAATGCCCCAGTACAGTGGTAGTCCCAATGCCCCAGTACAGTGGTAGTCCCAATGCCCCAGTACAGTGGTAGTCCCAATGCCCCAGTACAGTGGTAGTCCCAATGCCCCAGTACAGTGGTAGTCCCAATGCCCCAGTACAGTGGTAGTCCCAATGCCCCAGTACAGTGGTAGTCCCAATGCCCCAGTACAGTGGTAGTCCCAATGCCCCAGTACAGTGGTAGTCCCAATGCCCCAGTACAGTGGTAGTCCCAATGCCCCAGTACAGTGGTAGTCCCAATGCCCCAGTACAGTGGTAGTCCCAATGCCCCAGTACAGTGGTAGTCCCAATGCCCCAGTACAGTGGTAGTCCCAATGCCCCAGTACAGTGGTAGTCCCAATGCCCCAGTACAGTGGTAGTCCCAATGCCCCAGTACAGTGGTAGTCCCAATGCCCCAGTACAGTGGTAGTCCCAATGCCCCAGTACAGTGGTAGTCCCAATGCCCCAGTACAGTGGTAGTCCCAATGCCCCAGTACAGTGGTAGTCCCAATGCCCCAGTACAGTGGTAGTCCCAATGCCCCAGTACAGTGGTAGTCCCAATGCCCCAGTACAGTGGTAGTCCCAATGCCCCAGTACAGTGGTAGTCCCAATGCCCCAGTACAGTGGTAGTCCCAATGCCCCAGTACAGTGGTAGTCCCAATGCCCCAGTACAGTGGTAGTCCCAATGCCCCAGTACAGTGGTAGTCCCAATGCCCCAGTACAGTGGTAGTCCCAATGCCCCAGTACAGTGGTAGTCCCAATGCCCCAGTACAGTGGTAGTCCCAATGCCCCAGTACAGTGGTAGTCCCAATGCCCCAGTACAGTGGTAGTCCCAATGCCCCAGTACAGTGGTAGTCCCAATGCCCCAGTACAGTGGTAGTCCCAATGCCCCAGTACAGTGGTAGTCCCAATGCCCCAGTACAGTGGTAGTCCCAATGCCCCAGTACAGTGGTAGTCCCAATGCCCCAGTACAGTGGTAGTCCCAATGCCCCAGTACAGTGGTAGTCCCAATGCCCCAGTACAGTGGTAGTCCCAATGCCCCAGTACAGTGGTAGTCCCAATGCCCCAGTACAGTGGTAGTCCCAATGCCCCAGTACAGTGGTAGTCCCAATGCCCCAGTACAGTGGTAGTCCCAATGCCCCAGTACAGTGGTAGTCCCAATGCCCCAGTACAGTGGTAGTCCCAATGCCCCAGTACAGTGGTAGTCCCAATGCCCCAGTACAGTGGTAGTCCCAATGCCCCAGTACAGTGGTAGTCCCAATGCCCCAGTACAGTGGTAGTCCCAATGCCCCAGTACAGTGGTAGTCCCAATGCCCCAGTACAGTGGTAGTCCCAATGCCCCAGTACAGTGGTAGTCCCAATGCCCCAGTACAGTGGTAGTCCCAATGCCCCAGTACAGTGGTAGTCCCAATGCCCCAGTACAGTGGTAGTCCCAATGCCCCAGTACAGTGGTAGTCCCAATGCCCCAGTACAGTGGTAGTCCCAATGCCCCAGTACAGTGGTAGTCCCAATGCCCCAGTACAGTGGTAGTCCCAATGCCCCAGTACAGTGGTAGTCCCAATGCCCCAGTACAGTGGTAGTCCCAATGCCCCAGTACAGTGGTAGTCCCAATGCCCCAGTACAGTGGTAGTCCCAATGCCCCAGTACAGTGGTAGTCCCAATGCCCCAGTACAGTGGTAGTCCCAATGCCCCAGTACAGTGGTAGTCCCAATGCCCCAGTACAGTGGTAGTCCCAATGCCCCAGTACAGTGGTAGTCCCAATGCCCCAGTACAGTGGTAGTCCCAATGCCCCAGTACAGTGGTAGTCCCAATGCCCCAGTACAGTGGTAGTCCCAATGCCCCAGTACAGTGGTAGTCCCAATGCCCCAGTACAGTGGTAGTCCCAATGCCCCAGTACAGTGGTAGTCCCAATGCCCCAGTACAGTGGTAGTCCCAATGCCCCAGTACAGTGGTAGTCCCAATGCCCCAGTACAGTGGTAGTCCCAATGCCCCAGTACAGTGGTAGTCCCAATGCCCCAGTACAGTGGTAGTCCCAATGCCCCAGTACAGTGGTAGTCCCAATGCCCCAGTACAGTGGTAGTCACAATGTCCCCAGTTCAGTGGTAGTCACAATGCCCCCAGTACAGTGGTAGTCACAATGCCCCCAGTACAAAGATGTAATGTGACCATTGGGGTCTCTCAAGTGGCATTTGCCCCGGAACTATGTGGCACCATCAGATGGAGGTTATTCCGCCACATCTCAAGGAACCCCCGAGTACCCTTTGGAGGACCCCGGTGGAGAATGTCTCCAGTAGAGTATATCATACTGTGTAGTGACGCCGCCCTCATGTGGTAGTCCAATCCTTCCTCGAACTGCTCCAGGGTGTTGTACGCGGCACCCAGGTTCTGCAACACCACCGCCTCCTTGTTCCCGTCCGTCTCATCCTCCTGGCAGAACGGCAAGGCCTTCTGGAAGCATTCCACAGCCAGGGAGAAGACCTTCAGCTGGGCATAGCTCAGGCCAATGTCATTGTACAACTTGCCTGGAAAAGAAGGGGGGGGGGGAGGGGGAATTAGATTCAAGGGTGACCTCCGAATGGTCCTCATATAATCCTAGAAGGTCACTTGGAATATACAGACAGGGGTCACCTTATTGGGCACACTCGCTTCATAGCCAAACACCGAATCACGTGGCTGCAACCCAACACCTAAAGCATGCAGATATGGTTGAGAAGTTCAGTTGTATGGCCGAAGGTTAGGCCGGGGTAACCGAAAACCTCCACGAGCCTCCGAGTGAGGAGAACAATGAGTAAGAGAGGTCAGAGGAAAATGGAAAGACCCGTTCCTGCCGACAGAAGTCCACGACTGCTCCAATACCCTCTCTTTACCGCAACGCTGTGCAGAGGTCATCCCTCAACACACAAGGCAAGGCATTGAACCTTGAGGAGGACGGGCTACAGCATCAGAAGACCGGGTTCCTCTCCTGCCAGATGAGGGTAGGCACATGTGACCGGAGGGGACCTCCAAAAATGTGACAAGTCTTGATTTCTGCTGCAACTTACAGACGGATGGTCAACATTTTGGGTACACGGCATGAATGCTTTGGGGTAAGGTGGACCAGGAGGTTGGTGACCTTGGGATGTAAAATGCAGTAGGCTATTGGCAGCAGTTTGAGATGCTTTGGAGATCATTCATTCATTTCAGGTGCAGTTGACATCCTCCTGACTTGCAGTTGACCTGCTGCAAGCTGCTTTTGCATTCCCATAGACTTGTATGGAAAGGGAAGGAGCTCTCATTCCAACTAAAGACCCCCAACACTGGCCCTAAGTCTTGGTATCAATAAGATGGACTTGAGGGACACTTTGACTCCCATGTGGCAGTTATGATGGATATGACATTTGGGTTAATCCTACGGGAAAACTTGATACTAGTTCAACCTAATCTGGATCTACAAGTCTGATCCATTGTCTCAACCTAACCTAACCGGAACCTTCAAGCAAACTCCTAATCCCCAACCGGAAATATAGCCCTAACCCCTGAACCCAACCGTACCATGTAACCTAACCACTGAACCCAACCGGAACCTTCAACCAAACTCATAACCCTAACCCCTGAACCCAACTTTAACCCTCAGCCTAACTTATAACCCTAACCCCTCAACCCAACTGTACCATGGAACCTAACTCCTAATCCTCAACCTAAAATATAACCCTAACCCCGGAACCCAACCGTAACTCTGAATCTGACTCCTGAACCCAACCGTAACTCTGAATCTGACTCCTGAACCCAACCGTAACTCTGAATCTGACTCCTGAACCCAACCGTAACTCTGAACCTGACCCCTGAACACAACCGTAACTCTGAACCTAACCCCTGAACCGAACCGTAACTCTGAACCTGACCCCTGAACCGAACCGTAACTCTGAACCTGACCCCTGAACCCAACCGTAACTCTGAACCTGACCCTTGAACCCAACCGTAACTCTGAACCTGACTCCTGAACCCAAACGTAACTCTGAACCTAACCCCTGAACCTAACCAAAACTCTGAACCTGATCCCCGAAACCCAACCGTAACTCTGAACCTGACCCCTGAACCCAAACGTAACTCTGAACCCAACCGTAACTCTGAACCTGACCCTTGAACCCAACCGTAACTCTGAACCTAACCCCTGAACACAACCGTAACTCTGAACCTGACCCTTGAACCCAACCGTAACTCTGAACCTGACTCCTGAACCCAAACGTAACTCTGAACCTAACCCCTGAACCTAACCAAAACTCTGAACCTGATCCCCGAAACCCAACCGTAACTCTGAACCTGACCCCTGAACCCAACCGTAACTCTGAACCTAACCCCTGAACCTAACCGTAACATTGAACCAAACTCCTGATCCTCAACCTAAAATATAACCCTAACCCCAGAACCCAACCATAACTCTGAATCTGACTCCTGAACCCAACCGAAACTCTGAACCTGACCCCTGTACCCAACCGAAACTCTGAACCTGACCCCTGAACCCAACCATAACCTTCAACCAAACTCATAACCCTAACCCCAACTTTAACTCTCAGCCTAACTCATAACCCTAACCCCTGAACCCAACTTTAACCCTCAGCCTAACTCATAACCCTAACCCGTGAAATCAGATTTAACCCTCATGTGATGGGTAGATGGCGACCCTGCCATGCCACCCCTCTGTCACTGCACATTATAGGTTGTTTAAAGGAGTCAGACACTGTATACGGAGTCCACCGCCATCCCGGCCACCCGTGCAGGTGCCACAGCAGCGTCAACAGTAGAAAGCATTGCCTATGGCCTAGGGGGGCTTCCGATCTAACGGGGAATGTGATTTAAAGGCTTCTGATGTGAATGGAGCCTTCTGATGTATAGTGGGGGGCTTCTGATGTGAATGGAGGCTTCTGATGTATAGTGGGGGGCTTCTGATGTGAAGGGAGTATTCTGATGTATAGTAGGGGCTGATGTGAAGG